ATATATGTGCAAGGAGGTGGTAAGCATCGTCTCATAATTTCTGAGAAGATGAATGCCGAAGCTAGAATTGAACCGAGGTGAATGCAGCTTGTATAAAGAATAGCCCCATTAACAATTGGGAGCAAAATGCTGATCCCGTGAAGAATACTGAAGTGAGCACTAATGGATAAAATTCAGAACTAATGCTTTAATAATGCATGCGATCATGTTTTTATTAACAAAGAAAGTCTTGTTCTCAAACAACTACCTCCTTGAGAGGAGTCTGAAATTAATCCCCGATAGGCAGAAATCCACACTATTATACATACTAATTATAATTACAACCTGCTCCTAATGTGAACATTCTAAATTATTAGTCGCTTTCTTAAGAACCAGGAAAGGGACTTCCTATTGCATAATGAGAACTACTCACAAGCTTCGAGAATGAGAAAAGCAAGAGAAGATTCTACACGGGGCTGGGAATGGTGGGTGTAATTTAGTTCATGAAAGTGCTTAGTCTCTCCTTTCTGTCTGGGAAGTGGTACACCCTTAGGGGTTCAGGCAGCACCGGGCTTCAGCTCTGCTATTTCTAGGGCAAGATAAAAATGGGAAGCACAGGAAAATAACAATTTATCATTGTAATAGTTACAGCCCACTTGAGACTGCTTAACATTTTTATTTCAAATATGGTTTCCCCTAGTCTTCAGGTGACAAACGGATACCGACGCCAGAAGGCTTTTATCCATTTGTTCCTAATAACAATGGCTAGATTCTGAGTTCCTTTTCATCTGGAGTGACATTGAAGTCTGTACTTTCACAGACTGAACCTTCCCTTCCCTCCTCTGTGCTCTTCCTTCGAAAGTCTCTGAAGAAAACATCTGGGCCTAGTCACCGAAGACAGATGGGGCCCTTCTACTTCTTCTCCCTTCCCCCGGAGACCTCTGCCAGACGGGCAGCGTGCTGTCTGTGTATATGACACGCTGACTAAATGCTTCCCGGCTTGCGCATGCCCAGCGTGTTCTGACTGCAGGACCGGCTCTGTGTCTGCAGAGACCTCTTCACAACAGGTGCACTTCTCTACTTCAAAACATTCCTAAATGCTGTCATTGAACTCATTCTTACTACTTTTCTTCTATTACTTTATACACTTAAATCCTCTCCATCTGACATGGAACTTGAGGCCGATTTCCTGAAAATCATCACTTTTGCTACCGTGGTTATTAACCGTGATAACAGAGAAATCCAGACTCGATCTGGATTTCTTCTGTGCTATCAAATCTGTATGTTTCCTCCTGAGATTAAGACCTCATATATGGGACTTAAACTGTTTAATACTCCTTTTTCTTCTCCAAAGTTAATGGGTTTCTTCCATGAGTGAGAGAGAGAGACATCCCCAGGGGGGTCCTCATGCCGGGATCCCCCCTCAGCCCCAGCCAGCCCGGGTCACAGGTAGGAGCTTGGCTGGTGTGCATGGGGAGACCTCAGGGTGCAGACCTCCCCCATCGCCCAGCATCTCAGTGCACCACGCCACTGCCACACCACCATGGCCAACCCTCTTTTTCTGCCTCTTAGGGAACAAGAGTTTAAAAGTCCTATTTTGGTTATGGGAATCCAGGTTTTCACAGAATAGTGACTAACAGTAATACAATCTTTTCCCCGAACACCAACTGTGGGTCAGGTGCTCAGGTAAGGGATTTAGAGCATCATCTCATTTAGTCTTTCCAACAGCCCCGGAAGGTCAAAGCCACACTGTCTACATTTTATAAACAAGGATGGAACTGCAGTTATGAGAGGCCGAGTAGCTCACTCACCTCCAGCTAGTCACACAGCTAGCAGGTAGAAGAAAAGCCAGGCTCTAAGCATGGCTGGCCTGACTCCATATCCTCATATGAGCTTCATTAGGCTCTCGACCAGCACAAGTGGACTGACCGAACAGTTATGTTTCTAGGATGAAGGTTCTTTGACCCGCTTTTCAAACGTGATTGCTCCTACGTGTTTCGAAGCTCTCTGCCTGCAGTCTGTGTGGTTCACCCTCCCATCCCAGGGCAGGCACCTCTGTGGTCAGGACACGATGCAGTGGAGGCGAGCCAGTGAAAAGTCGACACGCAGTGAATGAGAAGCCCTGGGACTGACTGCCTCCAGTAAGGGCCTCTTTTTTTTTTTTCACTTTTCAACCAGTCTTTAATTTTCAGTTTAGTGTAAGGAGGCACATATATACACACGAACATTAATTCAAAGAATCAAGAATGTGGAATATAAACATGTTCAGCAGACACTACTTCATGTATCTTTAAAAAGTACTTTAAAAGAACTTCATTGTTTACATGTAAAAGAAAAAAAATATTTTTGCTAATACTCCCACTTCCTTTTGAAGTATTCTCAACCAATTACACTTCCTGAAACTCCAATAGAATTCTTTTTATTATGGCAAGGGTAGGGGCACACATTGGTGACCAAAACATGGTGATGCCATGTTTTTTTTTTAATCTCTGCCATACTCCTAAATGTCTGACAAACAGTACGGTTATCAGATGAATACTACATTTTCAAATAGACCATAGAGACTGAGATTCTGCAGCCTAGTTCGAGAACCACAGTGTCAGTAAGGGCCTCTTGAGAGCCATTTCAGATCCCAGCTAAGATGCAGTCTGATGGACACATCTGGAAAATTAAGCCACCAGTGGAAGGAGATGGTTTACGTGCATGTCTTAAAGGGGTGAAGTTGGTGCTGAGTGTGGCAAGGAGTCCAGGGAGTAGGACACCCCTCTAGGCTCCAGGATCAGGACCTGGCCTCCATGACAGGTCACACTGGACCTCGGATCTCTCGCCAGGCCTGGGCGCACAAGCAGTCCAGGTAGTACGAGTTTCTGCAGCCTCCCAGTGTACTGTAATCCTCCATGGAGATTTTCCCGTGGGAGAGATGGAGTGCGTACAGATGACTCAGTATTCAGATTGTGATTGGTGATGAATGAACTGGCATCCTGGTTTATGTATCAGTCTACCCCGCGCCCCACAATTTACCACAGGGTGCATGCGCTCACCGGAGACCAAGAAAGGTAAGGAGAAAGTGAGAAAGCACCTTCAAGGAAGGATGACCATGCTGTAACCTCCTCTCCTCCATTCTTATCTTGCAATTTTGGGCATATACACATACACACTCAGCATATTTTTCAAGCCTCTGGGTCTGGGACTTGAACTGCACAGTCAGCCATGAGATCCAGATGCCTTAATCACCATGCCACCTGGTTGGCCCATGCATCAGCCATTTTGAGTTAAATTAAGATGAGTCCATTTCCCTGAGCTTGATATACTATGGGTGTACTGATGAAATTTAAAATTTCTGAATCTGCAAATGAGGGGACTCAATTCTGGACCTTAATGACTCCTGGGGAGAGAATTTTCCATCTTGTTTCTGATCCTCCTGGTCCCTCTTCTTGCTCTCCTCATCTTTCCCAGGGCAGAAGGCATTGCTCAATCAGAAACAGGGAGGCCAACACAGCAATGGCTATTCCAGGCTGCGGTAGGACACCGTGTGACAAGGCTGGCCCCAGGGTGGACTCCCATGGGGGTCCCACTTTCTACCCTATAGGGAACCTATACCCCCCACATGCTGTCATTCCAGCCTTTACTTTTGAGTCCTGCTTGTGTCGGAGGCTCAGTCAAGGGCCGAAGAACTGAAGTAGGCTTGGAGATGGGAACCGGCCAGACTTGGCAAACCCAGAACACTTGCTCCAATCCAGCTCTCAAGAGAGCTCTTAGGGCGGGTCCTATGCATTCCTG